TTTGTAATTATAAAAATGAATCATGTTTGTTATAAAATACATAGCAATGATCATAATTATGCATCTTGAATTATGCGTGTTCAAAACAATATAACAACCACATTTAGTTCAATAAATTTCGCTTAAATTATTTTACAGTCACTGCGTCTATAATGTGCCACACATCCTGTTTTTGTTGGTGCAACATATTGCCTGATTAACTTGTGGTTTAAGATACGAAACGCTCCTCCGTGATTTTTTAAGCGAATGATATCTAATTAATATTCATAACTTCCGTGTTGTAACTGCGTAATATATGAACGTCTCGTTTGTCGAACACGTGTTTCGAATTTTCCGTGTTTTAAGAAATCGATTCGCATAAAAAACCAAGAAGATCTGCAACATAGACCTATGAAATGCTTTATTAAGATGTATGTGACATCTGCCTTTAACAACCGATATCTTCATTCCCTGGTCAAACGTTATTGAAAGCATAGAAAGCAAAATAGCCCTCAGATCGATATTTGAGCCGTGTCACGACAAAACCGACATAATGGGTTTGCGACCAGCATGGATCCAGACCAGCCTGCGCATACGCGCAGTCTGATCAGGATCCATGCTGTTTGTTCGGTTACATACTCTATAACAAGTAAAGAAACTGATAGCGAACAGCATGGATCCTGACCAGACTGCGCGGATGCGCAGGCTGGTCTGGATCCATGCTGGTCGCAAACCCATAATGTTGGTTTTGTCGTGACGCGGCTCATTTATATTACTTTATCCTTTCACTGATGCTGTAGAAAAAAGTATACTGAATGCGATATGTCAATTAAAATAGCTGAGGTCAATACAAGTTCAGTCTTAATAAGAAAAGGGTATTTAGTGCTGCATCATAAAAGTTTAAGTGGATTTGTTGAAAATCGGATTGATTGAAATAGCATAACGCTCATTTGAGTATAAAAGTAAAAGGCCAAATAACTAGTAATTTCAAAACAATGCTCTGCGTTATTAAATTACTTGCGCATATATAATATATAACCTACGTGGCCCATGGAAATTTGCGGAAAGTATCGGTAATGTTTGATTTTTTGTTGTTGTTGTTTTTAAATGGGGCAGTAATTTTAAAAGACATTTTATATTTGTTAGTTTCAATTACAGGCCAATCACCAGTTATCTGTGACAATCTTTTTTTGGTTGTTGTATAATTACATAGTAAATTATGCTTAATTCGGAGCAAGATGTGAGCATTACTTTTAAAAACGAGAACATTAAAGGATTTCTAAAATGCCATGTAATATAACAACATTGAAATAACAAAAATAAACTGCATTATGAAAATATGACAATAAAAGAACTGCATTTTACAATATTATAATTAAAAAACTGCGCGATACGAATAAATAAAAAAATATTTAAAAAAAAAATTAATGAAAAAAAAAAAAAAAAAAAAAAAAAAAAAAAGATTTAGAATGAACAAGCAGTCTAAATACTAATACATCACAAAATCTATAAAACCTTGATAAACATTGTATTAAGTATATAAGTATATCAGAAAACTAGTTTTAAGTCTCAGTCTTATTTGTAAGCATTAGGTAAATATGTATTAAAAATACAGTCTGATCAGAATACATGCTGTTCGCTTTCAAACCCTATAAAAAGTAGAGAAACTGATAGCGAACAGCATGGATCCTGATCAGTCTGCGCGGATGCGTAGGCTGGTCTGGATCCATGCTGGTCGCAAACGCACTATGTTGGTTTTGTCATGACACGGCTCATATATCATGTCATGATAATAAGCTTAAAGGCCCATTTAGTCTTTATAATAATGCTATAAATTTAATTTTTCAAACAAAGAAAAAAAAATTTGGTTCCCTGTTATATTTTCCAAAAAGTTACTAAGCTGAATCACCTTGGCAATTAATGCAGTTATAGCGATTTAGCATTTTATATGAAAGTCAAAATACCATTTTGTTTACACTTTGCTTCATTCATCACAAATTATTTCGTATTATTTCACATTCAATGATATTTTTTTCAGGTGATTAACAACTCACATGACTTGTTTTGAATCAAATTTAACATCATTATTCAACATATATTTGCCCTTTCTAATGAAGGAAGATATGATTCATTGCTTGGTCATAGTGTGCCTTTAAAGACAAATGAAAATACTTACATAAAATGCACATTCCCATTATTACGAGGAAGAACTGATTAAGATTAGTGTCCAGTTGAAGCATTCTATCCAAATCTATTTCACTCATGTTGGCACTCATTATTTAAAAATATAAAGTAAACCCTAATCAAGAAACTTGCATCTATAATTTTGTGGAATTATTTTCCCGTGTCACTTATTTTAGACATCAATGATTTCCAGCTTAAATTTATGGGTAAAATAGATATATATTTAAGTCCACGAGAAAAAAAAAAGAAACACGCTGAATAAGCTAATTACGTATTATTTTTCGTAAATTATTTCTTCTTTTATTTATTTAATTATTATGTACCGAAAAAAATACATCCGCAGGAAATGCACTTATTTCTTATTTTGTCAGCGTGATCACATTGTTTTAATTTGTAAAATCTGTTTAAACTTTAATATATGACGTTATGCATCAATGACTTTTTATTACAGCTTATCAGTTTCCAATGAAAATTGAGGGGCGATGATTAAAACATGCTAAAATACATAACATGCAATCGTTTGAGGGGAAATAATATAAAATTCATCGAGATGAATGATAAAAAGTGATAAATATTCATAAATAGAGGGGATAAAGTGATCGCATCTATACTTGAGTCACTAGCAAATGTATCTACTTTGGAATAGTAAATACTTATTTTAACAAAGATGTCCTTGATTCTGGACAAACACGTGAACCGTGATAACACATGTATCTTTACACTGGTATGTTTTGGTATTATATAATAATAATAATGATAATAATAATAATAATATTAATAATTGATGATGATGTTGGTGATGATGATGATGATGATGATGATAATAATAATAATAATAAAATAATAATAATAATAATAATAGTAATGATAATGATAATGATAATAATAATAATAATAAAAATAATAATTATAATAATCATAATAGTAATAATGATAATGATAATAATCATTAGATAATGATGATAATAATAATAATAATAATAATAATAATAATAATAATGATAATAATTATTAGATAATGATCATAATGATAATAATAATAAATAATGATTAGATGATAATGATAAAATGATGATAATGATGTTGATTATCATGAAGAAAAAGAAGAAGAATAAGAAAAAGAAGAAGAATATGGTGTGATGTTGATGATGATTAAAATGAAAAAAAAAAAGATTAGCGCTATTTGTCTGATTCGGCTATTCTACATTTTGTCATCTGTTTTACGTATAAAGAAAACGGTTCTGCCATGCTTTCCACGTGCTTTAGCGTCCGTCAGTGCAGTAAAGCGCTCTGAGTCACGCATATTTTGCAACAGAGGCGCGTGGTCGCGTGATTTAATTCATTAATTGACATTTATGTAATTCAATAATATGCGTGTCTCCCCTAAAAAGTTAACGTTTGCTACGCTCGGTTAAGCAGTTTTTGGTCGAGTATGCGACTCTCCGGTTTAAACTCTCATAGATTATATACAACTATGTGTTGCAAATATGTTTTGTAAAGTATGCTCACTAATCCATAATTTCGGTTTGATGCATGAGTTAAAGTATGCGTTAAATTGATCATAAGATATAAATATAAAATACATATGCATAATGCACCGATGCGATTGAAACTTGATATATAAACTTCCTTCTTGAAAATAAATGTTTGTAAATAAAACCAATTTTTTAAAGTATTAATTATTAGTGGTTGAAATTATGTTTTGTCCTGTGAGATCTTTCCATGTAAACTTTTTATACATTTAATGAATTTAATCGGCACTAAGTTGTCATTAAAAACGATCGAACAAAACCAACAAATAACATTTGTTTGCTCGACATTTTTATCATTTTCAAGGTAGACACGTCAGATGAAGGAACCAATGTAGTGACCTGTTTGACCTTGACAGTTACGGCCATATACAGATCAACGTCATACATGAATTATAAAACATGTCGGTGTTGTCATTAGAGTTTTTTTTTCAAAGTGTGAATCATATTGGTTTAAACATATTTATTTTAGCTCGAATGCAAAACAAGTTCTTGCAACTTATATTAATCACTTTAGAGTCCGCTTCCTGTAACTAACTAGTACTGGTGTCATATGAAGAAACATGGTCGTGACCCGAGTAGGGCTCGAACCCATGATCTCTGGGTTGAGAGGCAGACACCTTAACCACTAGGCCACCGCTCCCCTGTCAATCATATCTGTCAGTCCATACTAAAACTTTGCAATTCATGCATAGGTACGGTCAACGTCACTTTAAGGTCAAGGTCAACTTTGATAATTCGAGGTTTCGGTTCGGCAATAAGTATTGTTTTGTGAAAGTATAAATCAAATCCCTAAATGAATAACGAACTTAACGCAACCCAATATAAAGATCAATAAAGGTCAATGTCAAGTTTCGTTAAACTGTCTTGAAGGTCATTCATAAGTAAAGGTCACGTTCAGTTAAGTCAACTTAAATATCTTGCCCAAAGGATTGTTGTGCCGAAGAATTTGGCAAAAATATATGACACCGTTCAAGATTTCGGCTGGCAATGGCATAGGCAACGGCGTCGGCATTGACATGGGCGGGCGGCGGCAACATTCTCGATTTCTTTCATCGAAAACGTCGAGCTAAAAACCACTGGTAGGTATTGAGCATGCACCAGCTAGTGAACCCGCTGCAGTGATGGACAAGTGCTTCTATGTCAGCGACCATAACGATTATACATACACATACATTATATATAGATAACAGTGTATAATGCAAAAATTAAACATGAAAATTTACTCGAGGCATAAAGATTTTCATCTTGTTAAAACCAATGTTGTTGTTTACAATATAAACTAATAAAAAAAGATTAAAAACTTACAAAAAATGATCATCCCCATAAAAATGAGGAACAGCTGGTCGATTTCCACACCGATCGCCATCTTTGACAGTCCTAATTCCTTGAAGTAAACACTTAATTAATTGCGCCCTACTATTTCTGTTATATATTTTCTAATCGTTCACAGTCCGTCAATGTAGTACGGGTAAACTTGTATAGTAACACGGGTGTATGAATACAGGTTGATATATTTTGAAAAGAAGAAGAAAAACAAATATAATGGCTATTATATTTTGATGGTGACTCCTTCAATCAAGTGTGACAATTTTTTTTCGCCATTATATTAAGATAATAATAGGAGACTTCCGGGTGTAACTGTACTTTTGGTTACTCATCTATTTAGTTGTTATTGTTGTATTAATGCCTTTTTTCTTAGGTTTTTAATCACTTTTGTTTGCATTTTGGTTTATTTTGTATTATATAAAATCGGTAAAATAAGATACAAATGATTTTAACTCATTTAAAAAAGCATGCGTAATCTCTTCACGAAATTTTACATTCACACTTCAATAAATATCCATCAAGGAAAAAAGGGGGCTCACGATTTTATTAAAATATATCCCGCCCACTTGAATTTATAAACATTTTACGCTTGAATAACTTGAATATGCGAGTCCTATACTTAGAACATCTGAAAAGATACAGTTCAATGTACAGCGATTTTTTAGTTATAGATCACATCAGGAACTACAGTACATTTGATTATTTTGTTTCTTTTATTTGAATATTTTCTTTTTAACGATTTAAAACAATTTGTCGTGCGCTTTCGGTCAGTTTTAGTACGCGAGTAGAAGGCTTTTGGTAAAGGGGTCTGCCTCTAAGCACAGAGCTCGCGTGTTCGAATCTTAAATTGTTTTTCGATTTATTTATGCAGGTCGCCAGCATTAACCATAAGGTCTGAACGGCTTGCTGGTTCAGTTGTCGTACCCGGATCAGCGGCGTCTGTCGTGCTGAATCTTCCGCTAGCCCATTCTTCGTTCAATAGAGTAAATGAGTCATGACAGATCAACCAATCATCCCTGGTGCTTGACGTTAACCTTCCGCGAGCTTTCATGGCGATCCGCGAGCTTTCATCGCGATGTGCCGCTAGCTTTAATCGCGATGTCCATGCGTCGAAACGAATTTGGAGAAATGCCCTAAAGTGTGTGTCGATCAAGTTTTTATTTAAAACACAAATAATGGCTTAGAGGGTAGGGGTTGGCGCAAGGAGGTGTAAAAATCATCAAATTCCAGTCCTCATCACACTCAATACTAAATAAGTATGTTAGATTAAGGAACATGTAGTGGACAATAAATGAAGTACATCTAACGAATGAATAAACGAAACGAATGAATAAGCGAAACGAATGAATAAACGAAACGGGTGATATGCTGTCCATACGCAACTCTCAACAAAAATGTAAAAATAAAACGAGTTCTGATATGGTCTGTGTTGTTGGTAAATCTTTT